GAGATTCCCATTTTTTGATGCACATTCAAAACATCTTCTGAATGACTGAATGAAGATTCAATAGCAATGTCACTTCTCTAGGTGCGGTCCGCACAGACCGTAGTCCTAGTCAAAACCCAGGGAAAGATAGCAAATGACACGTATCACCAAATTGACTAACCAATAAAGTGGTTGCAAACCACACACGTTAGGTCTTCTCTGAATCGGGCCCCCCAGTTGGTTACTTAAGCAAGAGCTATTCTGGTCTTGAAAGAACTGTCCATGAAGTATCAATGTTATCATCATACTAGCCTAAAGTGCCAAGCCTAACCCAGCCAAACCAAAAACAACCACAATTGAATAACTATGTTGAACTTTTGACCAACTAGTTCACTTAAACTATTAAATATACAACTATATTCAACTATACACAACTATATACAACTGACTATACAACTGACTATACAACTGACTATACAACTGACTATACAACTGACTATACAACTGACTACACAACTATACATATAAGTATACACAACTATACATACATCCAACAAATTTCATAGCCCCAATGACGTTCCAAGGCTCCGCCAGGTTCGCGGCCTTCCGGCTGAAGCTACTCTTGGCCAAGCAATTTATGCGCAGCTCCCGGAGAAAGTCCAGGATCTCCTGATGCGTTCTGCGCAGTGCAGACTGGGATGGGGGGAAGCCCATGAACTACTATTGAAAATAGATAGTCAGAGACTATTGAAAATAGATATGGACATAGATATAGGAATAGATATAGATATAGGAATAGGAATAGGAATACATAGGGCAATAGATATAGTAATGGATATAGTAATAGCTATAGGAATAGATATAGGAACAGATACATGATATAGAAATAGATACTGTTATGGTGATTTCATGGGATTTGAGCAATACACAAAGGGAAATTCATGGGAGTTATCGCTGATCGGTGATAGCACTGGGATGGGGGAATCCTCCACCAGTTGATAGATGGTAAGCATCCCATGATTTTGTTTGGGTTTCAACCATCCGTTTGGTGGTGCAGGATTTCGCAACCATCCACTGTCGGATTAATTCTATTGGCATGGAAAGTAAACAAAAAAATATAATAGGAGAATGATCCCATGATTATCTCATTGCTATCCAATTAATTACTGTCAGTACAACTACTGGCTACTCTCAGCTCTGAATGATATTCAACTGCCAGAAAAAAATCACTGCTAGCAGGGGCAGCATTGAAACGATCAATTTCACCTTTGCTCCAATCCAAAACCCACACAATCCAACGTGACGGATGAAGCCTGAAAAATCTCGGATTGCAATCCAGGAAGATTCGTCCATCAGTGGGACTTCCTGCAAGCTTGGTCAAGTCCTAGGCTTTGCTGTTCACTCGCACTTTTTAAGACGGCTCCAAACCTCCAATTCCAAACAATGTATTGTATTTGTGATGACATAGTTTTGAGCAAAACAATGAATTCAAAAACGACATGAAGTCTAAATCTAAAGGGTTTTTATATGATTTAATTTGATTGAAATTATATATGGCTCGATGATTGACCGACCCCAGAAATTGGACAGTTTCAGATCCCAAGAATGACCAAAGTCAAGCTGTAATTTCATTGGCACGCCTAACCTTGCAAGACCCAAGGAAAAAAAGACCATACATATTCGTCTATTCTATGGCACCCCAAAGATCAATTTCCAGATTTTCAACCACTACAGTCACTTACATTGTATGCTATATATATATATATATGTATTATACATATATATATATATATACATGGCGACGAATTCCCACATCGCATAAATGGCCCACCTGTGGGCTTCGGCCAGCGTCCCGAAGCTAAGGTGGATAGCACTGAGCCTTCCACCTGGAGAGGCAGTGACTGGGAATATCCATGGAGAAGATCAGTGGATAAGATGAGATTTATACTATCAATGGATTGGTTTAAGGGAAAATTTACAGGAAAACCCCATATTTACTAGGAAAATCAATGGTTTCCTGTAGATTTTCCCTTAAACCAATCCATTGATACTATGTTTCTATATGTTTATACTCCAGCAATTTACTGGTCTTCCAGTTTCAATGTTTACTTATCACTGTTTTTTTTTCTCACTGATCATACAACTGCTGGATAATTAACTGGAGATAGTCATTCAGATAGGCTTCAGCCACAAAGAGGTCACAGGTCTTTGGCACCAAGACCCAGAGTCTTGTACAACCCCTTTACAGCAATATTGAATAACCCCTACTTATAAGACCCTTAAGATCATAGTTTAGTATCGTTTACTATAGTTTAGTAATGAATCCATTCATTTTTGGCGCCCATACGTGGGGCATGCTTTCTTTTTTAGGAAGAGACTACAAAAAATTCGGCGATCATCCAAAATGTGGTTGACAAATGATGGTTTCATCAAGTTTCACCCTTCCTTTCCCCATTCAATGTAGCCAATATTTGCCAATCATGTTACCCTCTGGGAAACAAACATAGCTATTGAAAATGGTCATTTATAGTTGATTTACCCATTAAAAATGGTGATTTTCCATAGTCATGTTAGTTTACCAGAGGGTAGTAATTAGATGGGATAATTTGGGGTATTAGCCAATGTATGGACAAACTTATTGATACATCATTGTATTATGTATATATATATGTATGTTTTTCATGTATATACTTTAATTCATCAACCTCTTCTGGGCTACATCCCGCTGTGCAACTGATGATCCTAGTCTGAGTAAGTTGCAGAATGACAAGGTGATTGGCCCGAATCCTACTTGTTTGAAAACAACCACTCGGTCCTTATCATGGCCAATCTTAGATGCCCTGCAAGACTGACACTACTTGTTGTTGCTGTTTGATATTCCCGTTGATAGCAAAAAGAAGTACCCATTGCTCAACCCATCGAGTTGCTCCCTCTTGGTTCATCCCTGCCTGTTGCAAGGTGGATCGATAAACGCGGAAGATCTCACCTGTTCTGGGACTGTGAATGGCGAGGAAATGGGGATCCTTTCTGGGACACACCATGCAATTAAAATATACATGAATAATTATACATGAATATACGTAAGATATGGATAGATATGGATAGAGATGGATAGATATGGATAGATATGGATACATATGCATAGATATGCATAGATATGGATAGATATGGGTCTGTCTTAAGGTGATCTATATATATATATATCTATATCCCAATTTTAAGACAATCTAAAGGATGATCATCTCCATCAACCTTCCAGGTTTCACATAAAACTCTCGACCCGCCAAAAGATCATCCCACAAACTGATGGCTATCCCGGACCAACGCTTTACCCCGGGGAATAATTATATAATATTATATAATGGAAATTAATAGAATATCAAATTTCTAACTCAGTCGCTTTAGTGCTTAGTCAACTACTTAGCCAATAAAATATCAATTATTTAGTAGCTGAATACAAACAAACAATTGGCAAATGAGTATCAAATGGGTTCGTCTACAACTAGGGTAAGCGCAAATTCCATGGTTTCAAGCATCATGTTCCTATTCAATTGCCATTTGACCCAAATTCCATGGGTTCCCAGCTCGTTGCACCTGCCACATCCAGAGTCAAGACCTCATCCCCCGCAGGGACAAACTCATTCAGCTCCGCATAGCCTGGGACCAAACCCAACCAGCCATGCAGGGCCGCGCGCGGGGTGTGGTATGGTGTGGTGCCCAACGATTATAGGGGGGATATGGATGGATATGGGGAATTTCTTCGACACAACTGGGGGTATAAAATGTGAAAGTGGGGGTAGCGTACAACTTTAGTCATCAAATGTCATCAATAAACATGACAATGTGAAACCTTCCATTTATAGATGAGTGTCCTATTGAGACCTCCCAGCTATGAGCGGGGATTTTCCAGCCAGCTATGTTTGATCCCAATCATCAACCCATTATTTGGGGATTGTTTATACCACCCATTTATATCCCCAAATAATGGGTGTTACAAACAATCCTCAAAATATTGGGTTTAGATCCCAAGAATCACCCATATCCATTATTATGGCCATGTTGGGGATAGTTTATCATTGGGTTTACCACATGGTTTGTTGTCAGGAGACGCTGCGTGTGATCCGCTAACTCCCCGCGTTTCAGCTCACACTCCTGGCACGTAAAAGGGTGTTGTTCACAGAACAATACACGGCATTCCGACCGCATCAAAACTGACTTGGAGAAATGCCTCGGAGATTCTGAGATCCCCAAATATCATCGAAAAAATATCAGATTGCTGGAAAAAAATGTCCCCAATTCCCCATGCATATCCCAACAAAATCGATCAACATCGTGGGTTTTACACCGTTACAGCGCTACAACTGCAAACTCCTCTTCGAGGCTCTTCACCTCTTTCTGCAGCTGTAGTTTCCTGCAGTGCCGGTGGGAAACCAGAGTTGACACCTGCCCAAAATAAGAAGTCAAACGACATTCCAACTGCCAGCTTTACATCACTTTACATTGATTTACATTGTATGATATATCATGGTTGGTGGGGTACCCTTGATTTTGTTTGCCGCGTATCCCACCAGCAACATCCAGTTTCAGCTTCGCCTCTGCTCCAGATCTCGTATGGCGCCCTCGAGCTGTTTGGCCTGGAAGTTCTGGGTCAACCAGCAGAAATACCCAAAATCACTTTCTGGTTGGTGGTTATAGTTAATGGTTACAGTTTACCTATCATGGCTATAGTTATAATAGTTTGGTGATGAATAGTTGGTGGTTAATGGTTATAGTTCAACTATGACAACCAAAGTAATGGCTATAGTTAATATAACTATAATACCTATATGGTTGGTGGTTGAACCAACCCCTCTGAAAAATGATGGAGTTCGTCAGTTGGGATGGTGACATTCCCAATATATGGAAAATGAAAATCATGTTCCAAACCACCAACCAAACACTGATTTTGTCAATATGAAAAAAATACCTGTATGGCAAAACGTATTTAGACCACGAGTCAGTTCAAAAAAAATAAGAGTTTCAAGACTGGATTCTAAAATCTAAAACCATGGTTTGGTGGTTTTCAATGAACTCAGGTTGTCTCACATTGATAGCAGCACCTCTCTTTGAAAACTGCGATGAAAGAAACGTGGCCAATGGAGCATCCGGAGCTACGTATCTCTGATAAAACATCACCAAAAGGGATCAGTATGAATTCATCAAAAGTACTGACATCTGTTAATTATTTCAATTCGATCTGCGTGTTTTCAAAAGTGAATCTGCGTACATGTTCATCATAATATTCTGAACAATAGATGAACAGGTCTTGCTCCCACACTCCACTGCCTGCTCCAAGATTGCCTCCATCTGTCAGCAAATGGTTAGCAGCTGCCATGTGCGCGTCACGGGACTTAAGATCCAGATGGGTCATTGATCTGGCTTCATCAAAGAATTTCCGCTTAGGTCACAAGTGTCATTCCGTCATGGGCTGTGAGTCTAGCTTACGACCTATCGGACATGGAATCCATGAAACCTTAGTCTTATCATGGCCAATCTTTGATGCCCTGCAAAAAAAGGTCAAACAAGTAGTTCATGTTCAGGTGAGTACTATCTGTGGATTACATATATATATATATTAAATCATATCTTACTATGATTATACAGCATCTATCTATGTATATATAGCTTTCGCAAACTTCTGTTTAGTTGGATACATCAGGCCATATTTTTGCGCAACCTTCACCAGGCACCTGACTTGTCATGCAGCCGTCGAGATGCAGCGAATCGTGTCACAGTCACAGCTCCATTGCATCATTGCACGTCGACGCTGGCAGCTGCAGCCAAGAGTCTGCATCTCCAATTTGCCCACCTCTTCCTTCAAAAAATGGGGGATCAACGTGGGTTGCAACCCCCAAGAATTCTCATGTCATTCGGAAAATTAGAGTTGACGGTTGGGATTTTTGTTGTTTTCTTCCAAACTCAATCCTCAGACACATCTCCGAAAATTAAACTACACCCACATTGACTTTTTGAAGGATGGGAATGGTCAAAGTCAAATGAGAACCAAAATGAACCAGCTTCTGGGTGGGAGATGCGTCCCCTAAAACCAGCTAACCTTGAGGAAGATGGGGGCAATCATGGTGCACGGCACCATGGCCGATCAAAAGATATCAAAAGATCGGCCACGCTGCTTGGGGTGCAGATCCACTGATCAAGTGGATACATAACCATATAATCATATGGCAGTGTGTCAAAACCTTGTACCCCTGGTGAACATCAAAATAGCTGGTAAATGGATGTTCATCCCACTAAAAATTGTATTAATAGGTATTGATCCATAGCCATATAGTTATCCCAACTTCTGGTGAGCTCAATGGTTATACCGTTATAGTTATACCTCTCAAAAACCCAAACATTTGAGATCTGGTTCCTACAATTATCCCATGATTAGCCCATGAAAATCACTCCCAAGCGCAACCGGCAGTGCCTGCTTGTGGATGGTCTTTTCTGTCAACGGCACCGCAGCAGCCTCGCCCTGCTTGTAGAGCTCCTGTCAAACACAGAGACTTCGCTGGTTGGATCCCCCCAAAAACAATCAACATCCATCAACATACAATCAACTCCCATTGGCAAAGTTCAAATTCCTATGAGTAGCTCAAAAGCAGTTACCACATAGTTAGATTAGATTTTGCATGATTTTGCATTATATGATAACATCATTCGTAAAATAATTCATAACCCCACTGGCCCATCTCTGCTGCATGTCTGGATGATCCCCGAGGCGCAGTCGGACAGTCGAAGTCCTGCAACTTCTCTTTCCACTCCTTGCGCTTTGCAAACATCTTCTCCAGGATCGACTCCGTATCCTCCGTCAGTCAGAAAGCACAAAGGTCTGTCCCTATCTCTCAAACATGGGTGAAATATTTTTTTGGCCACAAAAACCGGTTGGATTTACACCATGGAATTGAACATGATGATATTCCGTTGGAATACCGGGTGCCCTATTTTCAGACAAAGCCAAATGGCCAGCATCAAAAGCCAGAGATTGATGGGTCCTTAGTGTTCCATTTAATTTGACGGGGTGACAAAGGACCCATGTCACTGGTTTGCCAAGTGGAGTTCATCGGAAAGGTGCCCTTCAGCAACATCTTGCTCTGCTTCTGTTACCCTCTGGTAATTTAACATAGCTATTGAAAATGGCCAGTTATAGTGGATTCTCCCATTAAAAATGGTGATTTTCCATAGTTATGTTAGTTTACCAGAGGGTATTTCCAGAATCACTGCCATTGCAGCTGGGGTGTCAGTTCCGCAACATCTCGGAGATTCCAACCCAAATTTTCCAACGCTGATTTGGAGCAGCTGCAGCCCAGCCACTATCTTCAAGCGTTCAATCCTCAACGACTCGTCGCGCGACGTCCCCAATAAACAATATCATGCGCTGGATGGATCTTTATGCTATAGGATCTCATTCCAATAGACACCAACCCCCCTTCCCCAAGTGTCCTCAATTCTGCTGAGTCCGTGGTTGGTGACTTGGGGATGGTGGGCACCTCCGAAACTGGATATTTAATTTGACCAATCCAGGTATCTACTAATCATCCAGGACCCATATTTATGATAATAATAATAATAATGATAATAATAATCCGTTTCCCCTACAACAGCAGCAACACTAGAAAATTCTAGATTCTATAGACACCCCCAAGCAAAAATCCTGGTTGATTCTTGGATCTACTCAATTTGGGCCCCCCAAAAATGACGGCTCTCCAGCTGAAGTTCCAAGGCCAAGGCACTCCGTCTGCCACATTTGGCTCCTGGACTCGATGTCCTTCCGTTGCACCTGGACAGGCCATTGATTTATGGCTGAGCTGATCCCCCCAACCACCCAAGACCCACTCAGCCAATGGTTTCAATTCATCCTGAGGTGATATGAATCCCAGTGATCATACATGATCATACTGAATACCCCCAATATCCCCCAATATCCCCCAATATCCCCCAATGTTTTGGACACCAAAAAGAATAGATGCAATTCTAAAAACAGAGGGGTCGTCTCGGTATTTATATACCCACGCAAGGCGGACACCTGCAGCTCATAGAAGAGTTGCTCCTTTTGAAGGATATCATTTTCCTGTCGGAAGATCTCATGGTTTCGGCAGTAGGAGCAACCAACAATCCGGCCACATTCAGCTCACAGGCTCGATGCAAAAGGGGCCTGCTTCTCGCGACGCAGCCGCAATTCCAAGAGGTGCTTCTGACAGGTGGCACGAGTTCGGAAATTTCATCATGGCCATTCACCACAACTGCCATTGTGATAGCTTTTGTTTGCCCCAAATGGATTGGTTTATGGGAAAATTGATGCTTGACATCCAGGGTCTTTAAAAGCCAACTATGGGACTTTCAACCGTACCAGGGTTTCCGTAACCACTTCGGAGACCCAAAAGAACATCGTTGTGTCTTAAATAGGGTACCCCCAAATCCCATTGATCATCACGTTCCACAATAAACATCTCCTCAAAATTGTGTTATCTAATCTAATGGGAATACTCAACTGGGATGTGACGAATTGGCATCGAAACGTCAGGCGACCTCACAACCATCCTAAGCTTCCACTTTGAAGATACCTTTTTTGAACCATCCTAAGCTTACACTAGCCCTTTTGGTGGTATTTGTATGTGGTATTTGTATATGTATATTCCATGAAGTATATAAGAAACTGTCATAAACCAACATAAACCATCACCAATATAAACCGTCATAAGCCGTCCCATTAAGTAGACTAGACTTAACTTCGACGCATCCCAATTCAACACAGCACGTGCCACTGCAACGGCCTCATGTCAGCGCAAATCGTGTAGCATCATCTAATACAATTACTTGACTAGACTATGATGACTATGAAATCAACTATCTTGACTAGTTTATGGATGTGTATGGACGTTTGTGGATATTTATGGATGTTTATGGATGTGTATGGATGTTTATGGATGTGTATTTATGGATGTTTATGGATGTGTATTTATGGATGCTTATGGATGTGTATGGATGTGTATGCATGTGTATGGATGTGTATGGATGTTGATGGATGTGTATGGATGTTTATGTATGTTTATGGATGTCTATGGATGTGTATGGATGTGTATGGATGTGTATGGATGTGTATGGATGTTGATGGATGTGTAGGGATGTTTATGTATGTTTATGGATGTCTATGGATGTGTATGGATGTGTATGGATGTTTATGGATGTTTATGGATGTTTATGAATGTTTATGGATGTGTATGGTTGTATGGATGTGTATGGATGTGTATGGATGTTTATGGATATTTATGGATGTTTATGGATGATTATGGATGTGTACAGATGTGTATGGATGTGTATGGATGTGTATCGTTGTAAAAGTTTGATTTGATGGGAGTACCAACAGCGCTAGTCAGCTAATCCAACTAAAGATGGTTGTACCACTATATAGTATATATGATACATATGCATGTATAACTGTATAACCACACTTTAAGACGGGCTTGAAACTACCCATAGCTACCCGTTATCTGCCAGTTCAATGTTAGTTTGACACGCAAAAGAATCACCGGTTCTACCCATCATCTCCCACACCAAACGTCGCGCGGCCGCGGCCTTCCACTTGTCACGTTCCAGCTCCTGCTTCCGCCGATCCACTCCTGCTGAAACAGCGACATTTCTGGCAACCGAAGCGTGGAGCAATTGGGAATCGAACATGGCAATGGAAAATCTACGGGAAAAGGGATGGAAAAGGGTGCAGTTGCAGTTGGACTTTTCCCAGCAACAATGACTTAAACATCTTCAGCATCCTTTTTGCTAAGGTGGTTCTACGTTCTCCAGGTTGAACACAAACCACTCCAGCAAATGTCGGGTCATCCGCTCCTCTTGGCAACTGCCGTGGGTCACCTAAGCCCAAGCCCGTGTTGCGCATGTCCAACATGAAGGAGAAGAAGTTGCTGGAAGATTCTGCCTTTCACGAAACGAGCACTTGGAGTTTTCAGCGAAAGATAGGTCAGATAGGGAGCTCCAAGAAACTAAAATGGGCCATATATGGGTTACACGGTTACACAGTTACGCGCACAGTCTGTTCCTAAACATGGGAATATTGGGAGATTCCAAATTAGTGGGATTCTAAACGACCAACATGGGGATATTGAACCAAGAAAGGATGGATAAAGAACAATCTGCAGACCCTGGCAAATGTGTGTGCCTTGTACCAATTTGACCAGACACGATTGGTTTGAACAATCTCAAAGTGGATCAACTTGGCAGTTTATTATGTTGTTTACCACATTCTGGGGTTTAAATGAAGAAAAGTCTTCAATCACTTTGAAAAGTCAATGTTCGCAAAGTTCAACAACCCATGAGCTTACCAAGTTTGGAGTGAACCAGGTCCCTCTTGGAATGGGAGGCACCATGGAAGTGACTTCATGAAAAAGGTTAGAAAAGGAACATCAACTGGGGGCCTGTATGGTACATGGGCGTGTCCAAAAGTGTGGTACAGCCCAAAATGGTCATGTGAGTGGGGACATGATCATAATCCATCAGTTTCGGGGGTACCCTGTGTCTCATACGGACCCCCATAGAAGCACATGTTTTGCCATTTTCATCCACGAAATCCGTGATTTCCCATGAATTTTCATGACTCAAATCACGATGTTCCCAAGATTTTCCATGACTTTTTCACCGCCCAAATCTGGGGGCCACCTCCACGATGATGTTGGCTCCGTGCTCCAGGAGTTTGGGTTCAAGGCGATTCTTATGCACCTATAGCTGGGTCTTTCTGGAGGTCTTCGGAAACGCAGCTGATATGGTCCTCCATCCCATCTTTCGGAAATTTGTCAGGAAATCCAAACATTCTGAGCATATAAATCCCTAAGATAGATTGATTATTCCCAACCCCCCAAGAACTGGATTCATCCAGCTCAACTAACTTGAGAATGGATATCTCTGGAAGCTTTCACCATGATCTTTGGCCACGAAAGATCCCAGCCTTTTCTCCACTGATCCAGGTACCATTGAGGCTTGTGTCCACAAATTCCACTTGCCTGCAGGTCACTGCATGGCTGCGGGGTTCTCAAAAGAATTGAGGGAGGCAACTCGTGAAAGCGCTGTGTTCGTTGCGATTTCGCAGTAAAAACAAAGTCGGTTTTCCTGACACACCCTAAACTCATCCAAGTTGTGGAAACATATATGTATATTGTATATTAATATATATACATACATATTTTAGATATACAATTAAGCGATTTTCGTTCATGGCACTGCCCTCTCCACCAGCACTGGGGCCTTGATTGGCTGACCCATCCTCAGCAGATACCCCCAGTATCCCCCAGTCACCATCGGTTCACCAGTCACGAAGTCATGGTCATCCATGACGACTGCAAGGGGATACCCCCATCGCTTAGGAAACCTCCAAACAGATGATACAGGTAGTTACAAATCCATACAAATCCCATTTAGACCTGGTGGTCCGGGACAGGCACCTTTGAAGTCCAACTAATTCAGTGATGACATGGTTTCAGGGTCAACCTTGCCCATGCGGGGCACTTGCCAACAGTAGGTTACAAAGGCCAACAGTATGTGAGCTGTGGGTCGAAACCCTGGTACCAACATCAAACCAGCTGGTAAATGGATGCTGAACCCCCAAAATTTGGTCTCATAGGTTTTAATCCATCCCTGTATGGGTATATGGTGACCCTATAATATCATGTGTACACATCAATGAAAGGGGACGGATTGCACAAATCTTGCGGATGCTGCCGGGGCCAGCAATCCTTCAACCAAGCAGCTGATCTGACAATGCCGTGCCGACACCGCCTTGTCAGGCAACCGCACTGTGCAAGCCTGGCAGCGAAGAGAAGGCCTGGAGTCATTCAAGGGGTTGATTTATGAGGGAAAATCTGAGAGGAAAGTAAGGGTCTTACCCCACATATAGGGTTCTCCTGTAACACTTGTTGGAGTCATGCTGCAACACTTCAAGCACTGCATGAATTTGTTTGAAGAAGTCACTGCTAAGGTCGATTCAATAGCTTGCAGTCATGGTTGTTTTTTGAAGCTCCCATTATGTCTCAAGCCCTTCGCGCACCCGCCTCTTTACCAAGGGTGATCCATTGGTTCGCTGACAGGATGACCGACTGGCACCGTGCAACCCACCAAATCATGTTTATCCTGTTTTGGGGGAAAGTTTCAGTCACAGCCGGTTGAAGTCAGACTTCCCTGGGATCACGTTTCGATGAATTGTAGACGATTAGGGCTAGTGGCAGGAGTTCTCGATGATCGCTTGTAACAGTGTAACGCGTTTCAAAACCTCTCATCATTTCAGAACTCACGTTCACGTAACATCGCACATCGCAACATCGTACGACGACAACAACTGAGAGTCCTAGCTCAGAGTCCTAGTCCTGAATATCTTGGGCACCAATGGATCCCAAACTGGTTGTATTTATGATCCCACCGGCTCCAATTTGGGGCATCATTTTTCGTGCCATAGTTATAGCAGCACCCCAAATCTCTTGACCATTTCCCCAAAGTTGATTGTTTGGTGGTAAGTTTATAACCAATATACAGGTATATACTATTATAATATCTATTATATACAGTACATGTGTTATTCAGACAGAAATGGCTTATCAACTGGGTTATCAACAGCAACTGTTCAGTTCCATTTTAGCGCACCTTATCATGCCGTCTGCCACACCAAAGAACCGGGCATGGACCCTGAAGCGGGTGAGAACTCGATGTCATGTTCGATCACTTCTACATGGCCTAGAATTATGTTAACTGGCTGGTGGTTTTAAGCATCTTGAAACATATGAGTTCGTCATTGGGAAGGATGACATCCCATATATGAAATGGAAAATAAAATTCATGTTTGAAACCACCAACCAGTTAATGAAGGTCACTAGTCATCTACAAGGATTTTTTGCTATACTGTAACCTGGATAAAGTAATAGTTTTTCAGCATAATGAAAAACGTACCAATTCCACGGTAAAAAAAGGGATATCCAGGGTGACCATTCCTAATTGCCCGTTTTGAGGTCAGCTATTCAGGGAATCAGGGAAAAACCCATAGATTTTTCACAGCTCTCAGGGGCAAACTTGGGGAACTGTTTCCATGTACCCTGAAATTCTGGGGATGAACTAGCTAAACTCATCAAATAATTGGGATTTCAATCTGTCCTCGAGCTTGGGCACATTTGGTGCAGCTGAAGGCCCTCAGTGCCGGACTCCCCGTGGCCCAGTATGAGCTGTATAACAACCCCAAGTCATAGAAATAGATAGGGAAACCATGGAACACCTGGAATTCTTGGATGAATTGAATGGGATTTCATATGGAATCTAATGGACATGAGTGGAATTTAGCTGTATACGGACTTGGGTTTTTGAGTGGTTACTATATTAGTTGTATGCTATTCAACAAAGCCAACATTATAGTGATTTGTTTGTTGTTGTCTATCTTTGTTGAGGCTTTTTAGCTGAAACTTATATATTCATGGGTGACCGATGGACCGATAGAGATCGATTTCGATAAGAATGGAAGAACATCAATAATGCTGGGTCAAAATTCGAACTACTATGATTGCATATTGATTTTTCTGAAATAGAGTGTATATATCTGAATATTGATACATCTATGTATATATATCTTGCCCTAACTGTATTTCTGATGTTTCATCTAAGGTGGAAACTGCGATCCAGGTGAGATTAAGTATGAAAATGGTACTACATGTAACGGCCATTTATAGAATGCACCTATGAATTCCCGGGTAGGTACACTTGTATACATATATAAAATATAAAATATAATATACAGTAATATGTGTATAATTGTATATATATATATATATGCAGTACATCCGTATATGTAATGAGGGCGGCTTCGCCTGGGCATTGATTGAAGTTACACCCCCAAGCCCCGACCTCTACTGATGGCCCTGGTCAAGAATTCTTGGATTCAGCATGGATTTTACGGATCACATAGCAGAACACCATCTACCTGGACCCTCCGTTTGTAAGCGCAAAAATTGGTAACAGTCCCAAGTCATAATGGGAAGAATGGGTATGTTACCTCATTTTTCTAGGTACCTTGAGGGTCTAAGTGAACAGCTACAAGAGACTATTTCCTGATGTACGGTAGTTTACATGTATATTTTGTTGGGGATCGCTTCAACCCCAACCCTCCACCTGCGGCTTCTCTGGGTTTCTCTGCTCTGGCCCATCGATTGGTTCGTTTGGCCCATGGGCGGGCTGGTTGGCATCGGAGGGCTCATTTGGCTCATCCTGACCATCGGCGTGGTGAAGGCCGAAGGAAACAACACTCTAACAGGATTGCTCCCAACACCCCAGGTACAAAGGGGGGCAAATGGATGGATAAAAATGTAACATATTGGAAACATACTAAATTTATCCATAAATCCGCCGGCCTGCCGGCGTGTCTTGTGGATCTTGCTTGTTCGTAGTTGTACTGTTTGTTTAGTCTTTTGTCTTTGTCTAGACTTTTCTTTGGCGCGGATTTTTGCCCCGTCTAACTTGAACCCACCCAAACCCCGCTTACGCAACACAAATCTTTTCTGTCTTCTCTTCGTATTTTTCCTCTGTGTCTTTCGTTGCAATGTGCTGGGTTCGTCTCTGCCCCCGCCTTGCACACCGTGCGCGTGTTCTTGTTTGCTCCACTGCGTCCTGCGCTTCACGTTCTTGGTTGGCTAGCTGGCTTGCTGTTGTCTAAGCTTTCTTCTGCCGCCGTTGCTTCGCCATGAATGTGCTACAAGGGCTTTCTAGGGCTGACGCCCCGTCTACACAACAGCCTTGGTTTAGCCAAAAGCTTTGCTGCACTCAAACCCACTCCTGTACAGACCAACCCTGTCTTACACAAGTGCCCTGCCCGGCTTCCTCACCTTCATGCTCTTGCTGGGTCGGCTGCTTTGCTACTCTCTCTCTCTTGACTGCACTGAAGAGCAGGGTTGGTTCCCACCTTTTCAGGGTCTAGGACTTCTATCTTGGTGAGCAAGAGTAACACCAGCCTTTTAGGAACCAAATCCACAAAATGCTCACTTTATCGTGGCGGTACCGCCGAAGCCAGCCTGGGGTTGCAACTTACACTTGTACAAAACCCTCAACCATCATCGATAAATTTCGATTTCATAGTCAGGTGCTGTTTCGCCCTTGCTCTTTTCGACTCTGGGCTGGGTCATCTGTCGCTTGGCTCCGTTGCGTCCATGGCCCCAAATCTACACCCCTATCCTGACTGCTGCTACGCTTTACTGCATGCACTTGCGCTTTATCTCTCCTATGCCATGTCTCTGCGTTGAAGGTCTGAGAAGCCGAAATAGCTCTGGCCGTGGTGGCCGGCGGAACACGCCAACGGCGGTTAAATTAACATCCATTTATAAAATTTTATCCATTATGTAACATACATTTTGTCCGACCTGTTGCTATAAATTTGCCTGTCCCGGGTTGGAGCACCCGTCGATTCCTGGCCGTGCAAAAAATGGTCCTCAGAAATGGGTCCCGCGTGGCATCATCGTTGTCTGCCACTTCCTGCAGTCCATAGGTGAACATCCCTTTGTGGCCATAAATAAACGGCTAAAAGATGCTAAAAGTCCCAAGTCATAATGGGTATATTTTTTATTATATGGGATATACATGGATATACAATTTTTCTAGGTACTTGGAGGGGGTACAGGTGACGATCGCCATCATCTAATCGCCTTCTTCTGCGAGATCGGCTGCGCCTTTGTTTGCTTTGCCTCATGACGGAGCCATCCCAGCCATGATTTTGTCGAGTCAGTTCCAAGATTTTGCTGGACTAACCATATACCCATAGGATCCATGGTGCTGGTATATATGCTAACATAAAGGGGGTATATTGATGGGATCCATGTTACCATGTATAGCAGCACCATGGATCCGTCATGGGATATAGGTTTACCATTGATTGCTGGATTTACCCATGGGAAATATGGGAACACATATCTAACTCTTCCAAACAAAAATGGAAACAATGAGGAAATCACAGAGCTAGGGAGCTAGGGCTTCATATGACTTCCCTTGGTCTTCGCTCTCAGCCCTCTTGAAAACATGGATGATCACTATGGGATACCCCCATGTCTTGGGAAACTCCCATATCTGGTTGGTGGTTGAGCCACCCCTCTGAAAAATATGAAAGTCAGTTGGGATTATTATTCCCAAAAAATCTAGAAAGTCATAAAACATGTTCCAAACCACCAACCAGATATGTTCCATTGTGGTCCCATTGCCTGTCACTTGGGGAAGTAATCTAAGAATCTTCCGTACCTTCCGGAAATTGGTCAACATGTCCGCATCGCTGTCGGAGTCTGGAAGATCTGCCACGCTGGGAGCTGAATGTCTGCGAAAGAATGGGTAAACGTTAACAGTTTGCTATTGAAAATTGCCATTTATAGTGGATTTACCCATTAAACATGGTGATTTTCCGTAGTTATGTTAGTTTACAAGAGGGTACAGATGGGCACAGTACAGAAAGATCATCCGTGGCACCATGAAATCATTGGTGCTCAGGTATTTGTTCAAGTGTTTTTGGAGCTATACACTTCAGCAAATTGATACCCAAACACTCCAAGCAGTACCCATCAAAAATAGGTAAACGTCTCAAGTCACAGTGAGTTATATCCCTATGTCTATATCGCCCCATTTTTCTGACACTTGAAAGGTCTATGATCCGACCCGCCCGGTGCACCCAACAGCGAAGCCGCTGTTGCCCGTTTAAGCGCGCCTCTCTGGGTGAGGCCCTGAGCAGTTTTCATGGGAAAATAATTAGTGTATATCACTATCCCATAATTGTTATTTAATCCCATTGAAATATCCAACAATTAATTATCCGATATTCATTCTATTTAGTGAATCATTTTGTGAATGAATGTTTCTTCACTATTATTGTTATAATTAACAACTAATCACTAGCCTGAATAATTCGGCTACTGTTGGATGATTTTCCATATATATATATATATACACAATTATACACACATCATCACATTGAGGTCACAGCGAGGTCGGAACATGATTTATCCAAATAGGATAAAGCAGAAACCTTCAGCATTTTCCTGAACTTTTGAGACACACCCATATTTCTTAGATTTGGTTTAAGGGAAAATGATGAACATGTACAGTTGGCAGCCCCATATCTGGAGTTAGAACCGGGATTTCCTCAAACATGTTCCCTCAACCAAAATCAGCACGGGATGGCATGCTGCCAAAATTCACCCACCTCCCGGCGGCGAAAACTCCAATGCGAAGAATCCCACTTTGGTTTTTCGTAGGACAGTAGGACATCACATATCACATCATTGACACTTATATCAATCAGTGGGATAATGTCCTATAAAAATGGGATATAAATGTCATATATCACATATTCATACATATTCGCCTTCCATTTCCAGCATCATAGCATCACTACATTTTGCAACTTGCCCTCAGTCACCCCTGGCCACAAGTCACCCCGTGCCTTGTTGATTTCCAAGCCCGGACCCTGAGCCATGGTTTGGAGCTGCAGATGGGCCAAGCTGATGTATTTCAGGTTCCATTCTCCCGCAAGTTGGGACATACCCTCTGGGAACTTGACAGTTGGCCATGGAAAAGTCAGTCTAAATGGAGGTTTCTAGCTGGGCAAAACATCTATAAATGGGTCATTTTCCATAGCCACAGCTATGTCGAATAACCCACCGGCTAACCCCTATAAATATGTAGCTCCCCTTTGCCCTTATCAAGTGGAATTCCACTCCCAAAATGTGGACCCCGTGGTTTGATTCCATTTCGTGGATGCCTTTAGTGGATCTACATGAAGGCAATGCCTTTAGATGCCTCTAGTGGATCTACAATGGCATCTGGATTTGAGGTGTCGTTTCCCGAGAATCGAAAAAATCGTTTCCCCTCCATCCATCTTAGAAGTTTACATCGCGGAGATACTTGCTATAGTGACATACCCATGCTAGATACTTTCAATTAATCTGGTCTTAATGGTAGACCCTCAACTGGAACCTCCGACTGAATTTGTAGTGGATGGTTTCTGTGTTTAGAGGAGATGAATTCCGGTTGTGAACTGCTCCATCTTAGGGGACAGAAAGGTTTAAGTCTGAACATAGGCTATCCAAAAAATGATGATTATCTGAAATCAATTAATTCATCGCCATTTGTCCGACAAAAAAACACGCATAATATGTATATATATATATGTATATGTATATGTATATGTATATATATATATATATATGTATATGTATATATATATATGTATATACATATGTGTATATATACATATGTATATATATATATGTATATATATATATATGTATATTTAATATATGTGTGTAAGAACAATATCCAATGATAATTCTGGATTTGTCATGATTTGTCTGAAAACATGATTCATCCCTTCATCCAATGGTTGATCACTGGTTGATCACGATTTTCCTGCCCGTGCACACCTCATCATCACTGAAGAGCTCCGCATCCTGTGGGTCCAGCACATTTAACATGATAAGGATCTCGCTGATCTCACTTTGATGTGGTGTATATATATATATATATTGATTTTACTAATATCAGAGTGATTTTTTGGGTGCTATTTTTGTTTTACCAGTTTCATACATGTCGAATCAAGGTCAGCCCTCATATCGCGGAAGCATCGACCAGATTTTTCCCAGCTTTTTTTCAGATTGGCGAACTGGGTCTACCTCCAGAACTTGGTCTTTGGGATGGAAAAAAAAGTGGATCCCCAGTTGAGTATACTTACTTAGACTTCCTTCTTCCACCAAACAAACAACGAATCGTTGAGAATGACACGATCGATCACACACACATGGTTTTGTGAATCAGAATTTTTGGTCCCACTGAATTTGAAAAAAGTTGCATGTTATACCACTAATATGTTATGGTTATACCATTGATATCATACCACTAATGAGTTAAATAAGTTGAACTTATTTGATACCAGTAATTAATTAATCAATATGTTCCGCGTGACGCGGCCAAGAAAAACCACTTCACTAGGCTTCAATCCAGCCTTCAGGAGATTTTTCCAGCATTCCCTGGCCATGTTTCATAGACTTCCAGGAACCTTGTACCCTCTGGTAAACGTTTACATAACTATGGAAAATCACCATTTTATAGCTGGCTAAATCAACTATTTATACTATTTCGACTGGGCCATGTTCAACAGCTTTTTGTATGTTTACCAGGCCGGGCAATTCTTCACACCATCTCAACACGATCCTGCGAACTCATCAGGCCCATCATGGCGCTTCGAGATGGCCGCCAGGGCCGTCGATGTGGCAGAGGACTGGTAGCTAAGGCTGGCAGCTAAGGCTGATCAACCTTTGTGGTGGTGTTAAAGCACGAGATGAATCACTGGCCAGATTATATATATATAGTTATATAATGTTATATATATATATATATGTTTTTTTGTTGGCTACAAGACAATCACCTAATGCAAATGAGTTCCAATCAAACAATCGCAAGCCATTGTACTATATTCTGTTCATTGCATTCTTGGGGTGTGTCGGCAAGATGGATCTGATCCAGACACTTGCCATCTACCTGGCATTGGCATTGCTGGTTTGCCATTTTCACATTTTCCAATGTCGCTGGAGCCAAATGACTCGAGATGCCGCTCCGCTGTTGAGCAGAATTCGTCGAGCTATGGGAGTCAATTTGTGCGTCCATGGGAGACATATCTTCTACCATGGAAGTCCTCTCTGGTAGGAATGTCTCAAGACATTTCACATGCACTTCACATGCGACTTCGATTCAAAAACATGACGGTCACGGCTGATTGAATCCCGCATCTATACAGAAATCGTTTCTCCATCCAAAGAACAAAAACAGGTGAAAACCACCGTAGTTTCATCGCCTCCGAAAGGTGCTTCCAGGCACATCGCGCACCTGAGCTCGACCATGGGATTTTCATGGCATCCACTGGAAAATCATGGAAAAATCCACTGGAAATGATGGATTCCATCACTTTTTCTATCCATCTACGATCCCACTTTATGCATTGAAACAAAAACGGTGAAATGATTGGGTCCAACTCTTCACTGAACAATCACCAGTTATGATCCAGTTATCACTGGAAACCATAGACCAACAATCACTGCAACAAATAAAACAAGTTAGTGTGGGTCATGAACATATCCTGTCTATCAGTACCTTCTCAAGCTGGCCCCATGATATTCCAAGAATTGGTATTTTGCAACTGCCATTTTGGAACGAACACCTGCAGAAACACCGGTGTGAAAACCATGCAGAGTTGCAGTCTCAATTGTATCAATGTCACATGATTACCCCCGGAAGGACCAACTTCAATGGTTGTAACCCTTGAAAACTTCAGTGTCCAGTGTCCAGGCTGAGTCCTCCCACACCCAAGTTTTCGAACACCAGAAACCTTTGCAGTTCGGAAAGGTGGCGTCCAATGACTCAGATTGAACAACCGGTGATTGTTGCTCGAACCTTGAAAAGATAGATGTGTCAGTCTGAGTGCCCACTCTTCCATCATGACAGGACACAATAAACTAGCTGATAACTACTGCGAAGCCACCAGGGTGCTTGCTGCTCAATCAGCCCCACATCAAACAAAAAAAAATCAAGTGGCTCTGACAGGGGTGGTGAAAAGACCTACAGTACCAGAGGATAGAAATCAGCCACCTATTGGGGAGAGTGTCTTCACTATCCATGCATCGAGATGTGGCTAAAAATCCCTCAGTGAGAACATTTGGCTTTGACCAAGCCACTGAAATGCCACGGTTTCAATCCCTATTTTCCCTCTTAAAAAAAAAAAAACTGTTTTTATTGGGTACTATATCCTTCTTTTAACCAAACTCTGGTTAATATATGTTTTTTATTTTCAAAGGTTGATATGTTGATTCTTCAAGGTTAACTCCCCATGTGTTTGATGGTTCAACAATCCCGTAAAGCTATGTAAATTTCCCCAATTGTGCCAATAACATGGTTGTATGGTTGCTCTTGTCACCCATCTCTGATGCCGAAACTATGAAACTCAGCTTCTGAGGCTTCAACTGCTTGGGTGCCTCGTTCGGTTTCTGCCCCTGACAAATGCTGAGAGCCCACAGCTGGATGATGATGACAAGTAGTTGCGGCAAACAAACATTAAAATCATGAAACTTCAATCGGAATATTGGCATGTAAAAAGATGCAAAATCAACATCACAAAATATCACAAACATGAAGTCAATTGGAATAACTTAAGAACATTAGCATCGACCATCTGCGACATGGCGCTGGTTATGTCCGGCGATGGCCTCAACGTGGCTCTCCAGTACACCTTCGTAGTCAAGGATATACCTGGACATGCTACCGGCAAAGGATCTTCAAGCATAACTCCTTGGTGGAGACATGAAACAGTAGAGATTGTCCTTCTTGATCTTCTTGGGTCCTTGAAACATTCTTTTTCTTCGAGTGACCCCCACCCTGAAACACTATTCTGACACAGTCTCTGACATACTATCTGTAAGCATATATGGCATATCATGGCATATCTATTCTGACATTCTCTCAGGCGTCTGGCTGAGGTCCGGCAGTGCCGAGATCCGGAGCTCACAGGATCCAGATCCGAGGCTACGGGGGGAGAAGACCTGGCAGGTGGGGAACAAAAAATAGTCACACTCCTGAATCCTAACGTGGAACTGCAGGCTATTCCTGAGGGCTAACATGACACCATGGTATGGTCTCGAGTCGATTTTGTTCCCCAGGAAATCATGCAACTAACTTGTTTAATAAAGTCACTCCAAAACTGACATGGAGCCCACTGCAGGCCCGACCTGAACCCACACTGCACCCTGAAACATGGATTTCCATATTGTATCTGCGTTCAAATTTGTGGTTGACATGTTTATCATTGTCCGTCCCCGACTGAGATAGGCCAATCTCCAAGCAAGCTGCTTGATTTCAGTGGTTGATCGTCATGAAGCTACCATCGTTGGCTTGCAAACAAACTAATGTGGTAACCCCAATAGTAAAGCATCCCAAAAACTTCCATAAATGGGTTCTATAAACCATCCCCAAATGGTAGGTTTATGATTGGCTTTCCCACATTAGTTCATTCATGGTTGAGCAAACCCTATGAAGAATGGTGGTCCTTTGGACATCCCTGTTCCTATTTATAGGCGTATGTTATCAAGACGTATGACACATGATTGAAAGCACCAGTTGGTGAGCTACCGCTTAAGGAATACATGATGAAATTGACACCTGCCATCACATACTTCAGGGTATTAACATGTGTCACAACCAATAATAAAATACATTAACTTATACATATCATATGATGTAAACCAGTAACCCGATCATCTAGTTTAAACTATGTACATAATTATCCAGATTTACATTGTTCAAAATGGATCAAGTGGAGTGTGAAGACTATTAAAAAAACGCATATATATTTAAGAACGAGATGCGGTTAAACAGCTAGAGCTGATCAAAATTAGTGTTTTTTGATCTGAAGGCTGGGTTAGACCATTCTAT